CATGAACTGCCAAGAGAACAAACAGGTCTGTTCTAAAAAAGTAAAACCGAGCTGCTCCTTGGAGGCCAGGATTTTGAAGCTCCGTCTCACATACTTTGGGGCCTTGGAGAAGGACATCATGCTTGGAAGAGTGGTGGGACTGCACAGGAGAGTAATACCCCAGATGAGACGAATTGGCACAGTAACTGGATAATTGGGGTAAGAAACAGTGACACTGGCTTAGGATAGAGCAGGGTTCCGAGCTGTTGTGCATAGGGTCATAGTCGACTCAACGGCACATCACAATAACAATGACAAGAGGTAAAGCTTTAAAAGCACAAAACCCAAATCTGGCAGAGGAGGTATGCACTTTATTTTTTGCATTAGGTGAAAGTTGACATAGCAAACCAGACCTGGCCTGGGTTGCAATTCCTGGGATGCATCAGCACTGCCCTGGTTTCTTTGCTGGGCTCCTTGTCCATCCCTACTTTGTCAGCTTGGATTTTAGGCAAGTGTTGCCCTGATGGTCAATATGTATGTACTTTAGCGTTAGGTCATCAAAATCTGAGTCTAGTTTTCCTCTTGAGAGCTGTGTGACTTCAGACAACTTGTATGGTATCTCTGAGTTTCCTCTTCCACTAAAAAAAAAAAGGGACAGGAGGAAAAAAGAACAAAAATGTCTTCCTAGGTTAGTTTATAAAATGGAATGAGGTGACCTCTGGCACTCAGTATGTCTTCAACAACGATGAGCTCTTTTGCTTTTCCCTACACCGTGGACTCTCGCTGGATTATCTCAACAGCACATTTTACGGACAGAGCGGTGTCTCCTCAGAGGAGACAGTCCATGGCCCAGAGGAGCTCGCAGGCAGCTCCCCGGACAGGGGCTTCTTGTTCACCACTGCCTTCCACAGGATGGTCAAGCCGTGCACTTATTGTTGCTCTCAGGCCCCACTGAGTCCGTTCTAGCTCAGAGCGACCCATGGACAGCAGAACAAACACTGCCCAGCCCCGCCTCACCCTCACGAGCGTTGCTACACTTGGACCCAGGGTTGCAGCCACCATGCCTGTCCACCTCACCGAGGGTCTCCCTCTGCTCTGCTCACCCACTACGTCACCAAGCGTCATGTCCTTCTCTAGGCACTGGTTCCTCATGATAACATGCACACAGCACATGAGACAAAGTTGCACCATCCTCACATCTGAGGGACACGCTGGCCAGTTTTTCCAAGCCAGATTTGTTTGGTTTTTCTGACAGTCCACTGTAGATGCTGTGGTTTTGCTAACACCGTAATTCAACGGCATCAATTCTTCCTTGATCTTCCTTATTCACTGTGTAGCTTTTGCATGCATATAAGGATATTGGACATCACATGGCTTGGGTCAGGAGCACCTAGTTCCTCAAAGGGGCATCTTTGTTATTTTAACACTTTAAAGAAATGCCTGCTTCTTAAGTTAGCCAGTGCAGTGCTGCTGTAGTGGAAATACCATAAATGGATGACTTTAACAATGTCACTTTGTTTAAAAGTCCAGAAGTTCAAATGTGTGGGGCTGGCTCCAGGCGCAGGCTTTCTGTGTGTTGGCTCACATTTTAGGAGGAAGCTACTTGCTCCATTCAGCAACTGCTAGGCCAGAATTCCAGGGAGATCTCCCTGAGTCCTGGCCTCCCAATGTCAGAAGGTTCCCAGTACAGGTACCTGGATCCAAAGGACACTCTCCACTCCCAACTCCTCTGCTTGCTCCTTTCTCCTTTTAATCTCTTATAAAATAAAAGGTGTAGCCAACCACGCCCCGTGGAAACTCCTCTTTAAACCAGGATTACTGCGGGATTCAGGGAGTTAGATCTCACCCTTGATCTTCTCAGAATGGATGGGTTCATCAGATTCTTGCGGACTGTTACATTTTATCATTACATAACCACTAAACCACTGAGAATTCTGGCAAATTGGCACACATTTTTAGAGACACAATTTAATGTGTAACATTGACAACTTTCTTATTGTCTTCATTTGTTAACAATGTTGCTTACTGGTCCAGTTGTGAGGATTTGTGTTTTCTTTATATTGAGAGAGGATCCCTTGTTGGTTGAGAGTTGGACTGAAGGGTCACCCACAGAGGACAGGTTTCAGCAGAGCCCCCACATTGAGACAGACTAGGCAGCAGGACTGGCCATCTATTGAACATAGGCAGCTACAGTATTAGAAATAGAACCCTCTAGCCCAGATTGGAAATCAATCAAAATGAGGAGAAACAGCTGCAAACATCCTTTAATAAATGGGATATGGAATGTGTGAAATATGAATATAGGAAAACAAAAGTATGAAAAATAAAATCAAATGGAATGTGGAAATTATTGAATAAATGAAATAGAATAGAATTTGGAAATTCTTGAGTAAACTCATTAATATCACATGCAAGCAAAATATTACTAAAAATCACCCAAAAAGGGCTATAATAGGACATTGACAGAGAACTTCCAGAAGTTCTAGACAGATTTAGAAGAGGCTGTGGCATAGGGATATTAAATGTCAGATGAATCTTGGCTAAAACCAGAGGATACCAGAAGAATGTCTACTTGTGCTTTATTGATTATGAAAAGGCATTTGACTGTGTGAATCATAACTAACTATGGCTATAACATTGAGAAGAATGAGAATCCTGGAACACTTAATTATAATCATGCAAAACTTTTACCTAGAACAAGGAGTTGTCCAAACAGAGCAAGGGAACACTGCATGGCTTAAAATTAAGAAAGGTGTGTGTCAGGGTTGTATCCATTTTCCATACCTATTCTATATCTATCCTGAGCAAAGCACTCAAGAAACTGGACTCTTTGAAAAAGAAGATGGCATCAGGCTCAGAGGAAGATTCATCAACAACACAACCTTACTTGCTCTAAGTGAGGAAGCCCAGGGCTTGCTGGAGAAGATCAAACACTGTAACTGGTGGAGGTGTGTAACCAATCTCCCAGGGATTGCTGACAGGCTTAACAGAGAAAGAATAATTATAGTAGTAACAGTAACAATGTGTTTGGCACTTCTGCGAACCTGTCATTGTTGTCAGCAGTTACCAGAAGAAATAATAGTATTTTACCTCCATTGTATAGAAGTGGAAATGGAGGCACAGAGAGTTGGGAATGGCTACTGGATGATGGGAGATTTGACCAGACTTTGCAGCAAAGACTGGAATTTGGCTTGAGCACTGTTGGGAATGGACCTGAGGTCATGGTGGTGAAAGTTGCATGCTGTCAGGTCAGAGCTAACCCTTCATCTGGTTTCACACGGGAGGAGAGTACCCATTCTGCTCCCACTTGAGCAGTTGGTGGACTTGAATCGTAATTGTGATTATGTGAAACCTATGCTTGGACCAGGAGGCAGTCTTCAGAACAAAGCAAGGAAACGGAATGGCTCAAAAAACAGGAAAAGTGTATGTCAGAGATGCATCCTATTTCCATACCTTTTAAATCTATATGTGGAACAGATCATCTGGGAGGCTGGGCTCTCTGAGGAGGAGTGTGGCATCAGGATTGGAGGAAGAGTCTGCAACAATCTGCGTTATGTAGATGACACAATTCTGCTTGCTGAAACTGAGGAGGACATGAGGTATTTGCTGCAGAAGGACTGCAAAATACTCAAGGACTGCAGCCTTCAGTATGGACTGAAGTTCAACATCAAGAAAACAAAGATTCTCACCACTGGGCTGATTGGCAGCATCATGATAGATGGTGAAGAGACTGAGATTGTCAACAGCTTCAGCTTGCTTGGCTCCACAATCAACACTCTTGGTACCAGCAGCCAGGAAATCAAAAGAAAAATTGCATTAGGAAAATCTGCTGTCAGGGAGCTCAACAGAGTACTGAAGAGCAATGATGTCAGTCTAGATCCAGGCCATGGTCTGCACAATTACTTGCTATGCATCAGAAAGTTGGACGACGACTAGGGATGATAGAAAAATTTATGCCTTTGAATTGTGGCAATAGAGAAGAGTAGTGAATATACCGTGGACTGCTAGGAGAACAAACAGGTTCAACCTAGACAGGGTGAAACCAGGCTGCTCCTTGGAGGTAAGTACTTTGAAACTCTGTCTCAAATACTTCGGGCATGTTGCAAGGAGGGACCAGTCCTTGAAGACTGAAGACGGACTTCATGCTTGGGAGGGTGGAGTGACAGCGAAAGAGAGAAAGATTAATTGACTCAGTGACTGGGTAAATGGGGGTAGGTGTGTCAGAGACAATGAGGTTGGCTCAGGATAGAGCAGGGTTCAGAGCTGTTGTACAGAGCTGTCGTTCAGAGCTGTGAGTCGCAAGCGACTCGATGGCACATAACGTCTTTGGGAGTGCACTGTAATTTCTTGCCAGCAGGCCCGCTGAACTCCAGAATGAACTGAGGCGGTGTCAGAATTCAGATGCAGCAGCCACAGCCTAGCCCCACCCCCTGCCGTCTCCATGGCAACACCCTCCGCGGCTGCGCCGAAGCAGGAAGCGAGCCGGGCGGAAGCTGGGCGGGCGAGCTCTTAAAGGAGCCGCCGCCGCCAGGCCGGCCGGAGGGTTGGGGTGCGGACGGTGAGGGCTGGGGTGCAGACGGTGAGGGCCGGGGTGGTGACGGAGTCGGGATCAGGGGAGTAGAGACGCAGGGCAGTGTGATCACTTGGAGGTGCCAAGCGGGGGGTAGATGCACTCCGGGGGGGGGGGAATAGAGGAACGGCGGTCCACGGGGAACAATGCGGGGAGAGGGGCTTCTGGATTAATAAGGGGAAGATGGAGGGGAGTCCCCCAAAACAGTAAGGGGAAGATGGGGGGAGTCCCCCAAAACAGTAAGAGAACTTGCACTCCAAAAAAGTTTATCAGGTTAGTAAGAAAGGTGAGACTCCCCAAGGAGGGAGCTGGGGGCCCCAGGGACAGTTTGGGGGGTGGGTTGTGACGGGGGTGTTGAGAGACGTTACAGGCCCAGTTTGGGATAGTTAGCACTCTCCCCACCCCTCCTCTCAGCTATCTGCCCCCCTGCACACATTTGGGGTGTCTGGCCATGGCCAAGCCGCCCGCCCCAGGCTCGGTGATTATCCCAGATTGGCACGTGAGCGCCGAGGGCAAGGAGTTCCTGGGGTGCCTCCTGCGCAAGAACCGCCGGAGGGTGTTTGGTGAGTTCTCCATTCCCCCAACCTGTCACCTGTCACTTCGGTGTCACCTGTTGCTTCCTTCAAGGAATAGAGAAGCAGGACAAGGAGGACTTGCTCCCCGGCTAGCCTCAGTTTTGGGGATCCTTGGAAGCCCTATCCCTGGGGTCCCCACCCTGAAGTTTCCAGAGAGCTAGTTCCATCATCAGTGCCAGGAACCACAGAAACAGCCGAAACCCTGCCAGGAACCAGTCACCAGAGATGCTGTTCACGGAGCCGTCCCCAGTGCCAGCATGAGCACTTTACACCACAGACACCCACTTGGTTCTCTCAGCGGCATATTTCACTGGTACAGAGAAGTTAGGGCACCTGCTGGGTCATGCCCTAGTAAGTAGGGGCAAGCCTTGTCCGTATCTGTCTGTCTCTGCAAGGAAACACTGGGCCAATTCATTAGGCAGGATCAGGTCAGCCAGCCGAGAGCCCAGGCATTGGCCCAAGAGTTCACTCTGGCAGGAGAGACAAGCCCCAGAAGGCTTAAGACAGAATGAGAGGGAAACCCACACCAGTAGTAGCCTGTTAAAATGCAGATCCTGATTCAGCCTGACCGTGGTGCAGGCTGAGCCTCTGCATTTCTGACGAGCTACTTGGTAAAGCTGATGCTGCTGGTCCAGGGGCTTCAATGAATCACAGAGTGGCAACTGCCAACCCAGAGATACAGTTTGAATCTCCCAGCTGTTCCACATGAGAGAGATGATCAGCTCCGAGACTGCCTATAAAACCCTGCGGGAGGGTTAGCCCTAAATTGGTTCCAATTTTATGGGAAACAACAACAACAAAGGAGCCCTGGTGGAGAAGGAAGGTAATGAGTTTCAACGCTAACCCAAAGCTTGGGAATCTCTGGTGGTTCAAATCCACCAGTGGCTCTGGAAGAAAGATGGGCAGTCTCCTCCCATTGCAATTTACAGACTCAGAAACGTGGTGGTAGTTGTGTACGTACCATGGAGTCTAAACTGACCCATAGCTTACTTTCCTGCGGGTTTCCAGAGACAGTTAATTGCACAGAAGGAGATTGCCCATCTTTCTCCCATGGAGCAGCTGGTACCCTCGAACCATGTGCCTTTGGGATTGCAATGCAGCTTCTTGCCACTAGGCCACCAGAGCTCCCAGGAAACGTGATAGAGGGTCACACTGAGTTGGAATTGATTCAGTGGCAGGATGAGCAAGATGGTGAAGGTCAGTGGTTTGAACCTACCATTCAATCGTGAGGGTGAGAAGAATTTGGCAGTCTCCTCCCATAAGGATTACAGCCTAGATTAGACCTTCTGTTGGCGCAGTGCTAGTCTGTCTCAAGTGTTTTGCTGAGTTGAAATCCACTTGCCAGCACAAAGCAACAAAGGATTTCAGGGAGTCCTTGAGCAGTACAAAAGGTTAACACAACCTAAAAGTTAGTGGTTCTAATCTCCCCGGAGGCACTTTGGAAGAAAGGATTAACCATCTGTCCTGAAAAACCAGCCACTGACAACCCCACGGAGCCCAGTGCTGCTCACACACGTGGGTCTCCATGAGTCGGAAATGACTCAACAGTGCCTGGTTTTGTGAGCATTTTGAGTGTTTAACTTACCTACAGGTATGTTGAGAGGTTGTTAATAGCTGAGGTTGAGAAACACTGACAATTAAATATCAATTGTTGATTTAGAACGATATGCAAAAGCAGATGAGTACCCAGAACCAAGGAGGGTTAGCTCTGAAGAAGCCCTTAGAAATAATGGCTAATCCAGGAACTGATTGGGCCAGTGTAGGGCTGACTGCGTGAGGCTGCTGTGCTGCCTGTTTCTTGCTACAGGGCTGCTGGAAAGACCAGTGCTGCCCCCTCAGGTGGCCATTGACACTGCAAGCTACAAGATCTTCGTGTCCGGGAAGAGTGGAGTGGGTAAGACGGCTCTGGTGGCTAAGCTGGCTGGCCTGGAGGTGCCTGTGGTGCATCATGAGACCACTGGTGAGTGAACCCTGACCCTGAGCCAGCCTCCTGTGCTCTGTTCACCCCCATAGACCTGTGAGATGGAGGAAGTAGCCTGGCCCTAGATCCTGCAACCTGAAGTTTATACCCAGCGCCACCATTCTTCTGTGACCCTGAAAAGTCCCTTCACCTCACTGAGCCCGCAGTGACTCCTTGGTCACACAGGAATAATAATTTGATCCCATTGGTTATTGTGAGGTTAGACATAGTCATAGCCAGCCAGCCTCATGCTGTTCCAGTGTTGTTTACAGGGTTTTCAGGACTCTTATTTCAAAAGTAGACAGCCAGTCACGTAGCTTAGTTTGGAAACCACACTGAAACCTGTCCTCCATGCTGGTATTTGAAGTCCTGATGGCAGAGCTTCCAGGATCACAGCAGCACAAAAGCCATGACAGTATAACCGACTGACAGGGGAAGACCTTCAACAACGAGCTAGGTGGCTGCAGCAGTGGGTCGAACACAGCAAAGAGTGAGGACGGTGCAGGGATAGGGTCCTTTAGATGCTTTGAGGCGTAATTGACTCAGTGACACTTGACAACAACAGTGGCACCAAAGTGACATATGGTCATTGCTCAGGAGATGCCAGTCTTTGCATTTTGCTTCCTTCTACTGGATATTGATTGATCCATCATGTTGCAGTCAACAACCTCCGCCCCAGCAGCACCTCAAAAGTCCGTTGGGGTCCCTGGATAATAACAGATTGTTAAAAGTCTGCCAGAGACAGCTTGAAAGAAAAGCATGGTGATCTGTTCTCCAGAAATCAGCCTGTGGACACACTTCCATGCTGATATGCCTGAGGTTGTCATGTCACAAGCAGCTCAACATACCAGTGAAATAGCTTTGTTAGGGATAGAGCAGGGACTGCCTTAGACAGGGGGCTCCTCCGGGCAGATCTCTGTCCACCCCCACCTCCCACCACACTAGGAATTCTCCTTGGCCAGGGACAGTGCCCTGCCCAGCAGACTGGGCTCTCCCATGCCAGGCCAATGTGCTTCCTCCATTAGACTAAGAGACCTCTCAGGAGAGAGGCTGTGCCTCCCCCAGCAGACTGAGCCCGCCAGGGACAGAGATGCATCTCTTTTCCCCATTCTTCCCGTGTTCCTGACCCCTGACTCCTCTTCACTCACCTCACCTCTGCTGAATGGCAGACCCTGGTCCTTCACAGGCATCCAGACCACTGTGGTGTTTTGGCCAGCCAAGCTGCAAGAAAGCAACCGTGTTGTCATGTTCCGCTTTGAGTTCTGGGACTGTGGGGAATCTGCACTCAAAAAATTTGATCACATGCTGCCGGTAAGCAGGCCAAGGGCCTGGGTGGGCTCCAGGGAAGGGCTGGTGATCTCTGGGGATGTTCTGTGTGTCAGCGTCTGAGCTGGATCTGCTGGTCAGCAGGAACTGGTGTGGTCATGAATGGGCTGAAGCCACTGCCCTCGTTAGAGGACTCCAAGCTGACTTTGACGACTGAGTCTCAGCCCTACTCCCTGTCTGGGCCTCACTTTCCCCATCTGTGCAGGGACGGACATGCTGGACCTCTCAGGGCTGGCAGCTGATGGGAGGTCTGGCCTGGCCTTTGTCCACCTCTCCGTCCCCAGGCTTGCCAGGAGAAGGCGGACGCTTTCCTCTTCCTCTTCTCCTTCACTGACCGCGCCTCCTTCGAAGACCTTCCTGGACAGCTGGCTCGAGTAACGGGCGAGGCCCCTGCTGCTGTCAGAATGGTCGTTGGCTCCAAGTATCTTTTGGATGACCCCTGAAGCTGTCCCAGGTTACCGTGTGTATCAGTTATGCACTTGGCAGGATGTCAGATAAGGGAGAGAAGGACCCTAATTCTGTCTCATGTGGGGTCCAGCCTGAGGCTTTCTCTCAAAGGAGGCAGGGGCTTCCCCCAGGCCCTGGAAGTGGGGCTTCAGGGAGGAGGGAGAAGGCTGGGCATGATGGATAGGGGCAGAGATAGCCGCCAAGGGCCTTAACACTCCTCCAGATTTGACCAGTACATGCACACGGACGTGCCCGAGCGGGACCTCACGGCCTTCCGGCAGGCCTGGGAGCTGCCCCTCCTGCGAGTGAAGAGCGTCCCGGGGCGGCGGCTGGCCGATGGGCGCACCCTGGATGGCCGGGCGGGGCTCATGGACATCGCCCACGTGCTCAACAGTCTCGCAGAGCAGCTGTGGCACCAGGACCAGGTGGCAGCTGGCCTGCTTCCCGACCACACAGAGAACACCCCTGGCTAAGGGGCCCTGGCAGCGTGAGTGGGCACCTGGGGGAACCCCACCCAGATCCTCAGTTTACCCAAATGACCTCAGACAGAAGACCAAGTGCAGAGACTGAGACAGGACTGTTGGTCCCATCCCAAGCCCTGGCCAGAGAGGCTGGTTAGGGAGGCTGGTGGCCTGGGGACACCCCGCCCCAGCCACACTCTGCTTGCACTGTGGCAGTGTAGAGGGGACTGGATCTCTAGGACAGCGGTGATCCCTCTGGTTTGCAGGGTGTCTAGGTGCCCCTTGACCTCCCTGTGCCCTGGAAACTGAGGACCTGCATGGGCCTTGAGCTTAAAAATCTCCAGTGTCCTCACTGTGTTTCTCTATCCAAGCACCTGTGGAAGGTCATCAGCGGTGGGGGGCCTGGGCAGGGCCCTGGGCCTCAAGTGACTTCATACAAGAACCCATATTCACCAAGATAACTCTACACCATGTACCTGCCGCAACATAAATCCTGACATCTCTGTGGCTTAACTCTATGGCCTTTATTCCTGCTCATGCAGCGTCCAAATGACTGTGGGAGGAGCTCCATACTCAGAAAGAGACCCCTTCTCTGACATCTGCACTGTTCAACTAGGTACTTCCCAGTGGGAACCAACTCACAGCTGACCTGCCAGGGGACTTACAGAAGCTGTAAATCCCACAGGAGGAGATTGCCCATTTCCCCACCTCAGAGCCCGTGGTGTATTCGAACTACCAAAGAGACACGGCCTTTGGGCTAGCTGTGGACTTCACCATCACATGACTTTGAGAGTTGCCCTGGGGCTTCAGTGCTCAGTCAGCTGGCAGAATGAGCAAGTGCAGGGTCACCAGGGAATTTCTTTGGGCAGAGCTATGGGCACATGTTGTGGTTGTTATGTGCTGTCGAGTTGCTTGCATCTCAGAGTGACCCTATGTATAACAGCTTTGAACCCTGCTCTATCTTGAGCCAACTTTATAGTCTCTGACACACCTACCTCCACTACCCCAGTCACTGAATCAATCCAACTCATCCAGGGTCTTCCTCTCTTGCTCTGTCCCTCCGATCTCCCAAGCATAATGTCCCTCTCCAAGGACTGCCCCCTCTTTGCAACATGCTCAAATTATGTCAGATGGAGCTTCAGAATCCTTGCCTCTAAGGAGTAGCCTGGTTTCACTCTCTCCAGGACAAACCTGTTTATTCTCCTAGTGGTCCATGGTATATTCAATACTCTTCTCCAGCACCACAGCTGAAAAGCACATATGTTATTTCTATCCGCAGCCCCTTGACAGTACATGGTCACTTGGAACTACAGAGGGATCTGGGAAATGTCCTCCAAATGTCTGTCCAGGAGGACAGTCCCTCATTCTGCAATGTCCTTGATTGGGAAGTGATCCAGCCAGGCTTTGGGCAGAGACCCAGCCAGTAGAATCAGAAAGAAGCACTAGGCAGTTGTAGAGACTGGACTGGATGGGGGGGAGGAGGAGTCAGGGCATGAGTTGATCTTACTGGGGACTCTGCCCAGTTGGGTGGTCCACGAGGACTGGAGGAGGAAGGGGCTCAGGCTGACTCATCCCTGAATCTCTCCCTGCTCTATCAGCCAGAAGCTAGTGGAGACCCTACCAGGCTCCGTAGATGAACCTCTGGGCTAAGTCATGACGTGAATCTGAGACGGTCCTGGGGAACCGGATATAGTGACCTCCCAGAGCCAGCTGAGCTGAGCTTGAGAAAGCAGGCTGGCAGCTCTGCACACTTCACACCCAGACACATGGTCCTGCACACTCATGCACATGGCATATAGGTATTAGAGTGCCCCAGGTGCTCCTCCTCACCTGCCCTGGAGCACACGGACATGCTCTGATGCTCTCACCCCCACACACATTAGTGCACGGCTGTTTGGTCCTTCTGAGCACTGTCACAAGGGCTTGCTGGCTCTTCCAGGGCCTGGGCTGATTTCTGCACTTGCTTGCCTGCAACTGAGCCCTTCTTAGACCCCAGAGAAGACAGCTTGTTGGGCTAACACCTCAGGGCCCAGTGGCCACTGCTGGGACCCAGGCCTGCTGCTACAGCCTTTACTGTTTGCAGGCCCATTGCCAGCCTGTTTCCTTCTGTGGCTGATGTCTGTAGTCTTGCCTACTCGGGCAACAGCAAAAAGGGAGGCAGGAACGGGGCTAGACTGTGAATCATGTCCCAGCTAGTTCTCGCTGCATTTACGATTCCTGCGAGAGGAAACTTCTTTGTCTTTTTTTGGGTATGAGCTCAGCCTGGAGCTGGAGCTTAGGGACAGCCTACTCCAACATTCTTAGTATTACTTTAATATTTACTAGGAGCTCTTGTGGCCTAGTAGTAAGAAGCTTTGCTGCAATCCCAAAGGCACATGGTTCAAATCCACCAGCTGTTCCATAGGAGGAGGATGGACAATCTCCTGTGAGATCTGCTGCTTCTGAAAATGCACGAGAGGGTCAGCTGAGTTGGCTCCAACTCGATGGCACACAACAACAACAGGACACACACACACACAGGGCCTGGACTGAACTGCAGAACTGGGGCCTGAAGGGAGGAGGGAGCCACAGAGCTGTGCCTCTCCTAGTAGCTGGTGGCTGTGGGCCTCTGGCCAGTCTCTGGGTGTGGTCACTTGGACTGTGAACACTGCGTATGCTCATATCCTTACCTCCTTATATAGAGAGCTGGTGTCCTGGGCATTTGACCAGTGTGAGGAGGATAGCACGCTCAGAGAGTCCTCAGGTTGGTTAAATCCTCTGCTGTTGTCATCTGGAAATGCTTTATAATATTTGAACAAGGTCATTGTCATTTGACACTGGACCCACCAATAATGCAGACAGCCCTGTACTGTGTCTTGAGAGAAGACCAGAGAAACTGTCTTCCACCCACCAGGAAATGTCCTTCCTTCTCATTTTGGTGCTGGAAATTCCTCCGTAGAAGTTTCCCAAAAGCTCTCAAAGACAGATACACCTGGGACTCTTTGTGTCCCCTCTCTGAGCCCTGAGGCTCCAATAGGGTAGAGCGGTGGGGATTACACTCCTAGGCAGGTTCAGAGGTGGACCCCATCTTATAGGAGAGGTTTGGAAAGGGTAGCTGGTTGCCTCCCAATGCCTTGACGCTTGGGGCCTGCCTTGGTCCCTGATGCCCACCTGGCTAAGACATGCCCAACTCAGTCAGCTCTGTGGACACATGGACTCTAGCATTAGCAGCTGGTATGACTCACCCCCACTCCCTTGCTTCTAGTCTAGGGACTACGTTTCTGTTATAGCTGGTGTTAAATTGCCCTGAGAGGTTGACTTCTGACCCCTGTTCACAAATTCCAGTGCAGCAATTCCCACAACTCTTGCTTTACATAGACATATGCATAAGTGGCCAGGAGACCTGGTGACTGAGGCTAGGTCCTCTCCAGATGGTCACAGGAAGGAGATCTGTGCTAGTGACAGCGTCTTCCTCACGTGCTCCCTGATACCTACACCACATGGAATATATCTGAAATCTGTCTCATGGCCAAGGTGAGCCAAGGAAGATGGCAAAGGAACGGGTAGGTATAAGGTGTCCAGCATCAGGGTCTGGCTGCTGAGGAAGCCAGTGGTAGGCCATACCATACACCTGAGCCACCTCTTCACCCACGTGGGAACTGTGTTCTTCAGCATCTTCGTGTCCTGGGCCATGGCTTACTTTGAGGACTGCGAGATCAAAAGCATCTGCTTGGCCCACTACTGTTGTTAGGCGCCATTGAGTCAAGTACTACCATAGTGACCCTATGAACAAGAAATCTGAACCCTGTTCTATCCTGTGTTATCCTCACACTTCCTAACATGCAAGAGCCCATTGCAGGAGTCACCATGTCAGTCCGCCTGGTTGAGGGTCTTCCTCACCTTCTATGACCCTCCCAAGCATGATGTCCCTCTCCAAAGCCCCTCCTAGCAATATTCCCAAATTAATGTGGGACAAAGTCTTATCATCTTTGCCTCCAAAGAGTACTCTGGGTGCACCCTCTCCAAGACATATTTGTTTATTATTTTGGCAGTCCATGGGATGTTCAGCAATGTTTTCCAGTACCACAGCTCAAAGTCATCAATAATTCTTCTGTCCAGCTCTCAGAATCAGGCATACCTTCATCCTCAAACCAACATCCTTACTCCTCAATAATTTGGAGAGGCTCCTAACTGCAGACTTTCCCAATACAATACATCCCTTGATTTCCATACTTGCTGGTACCATGGGTGTTAATTGTAGATCCAAGTAAGATGAAGTTGTTGACAGTTTCAATCTTTTCTCCATCAATCATGATGTTGACTATCGGTCCAGTGGTAAGAATCTTTGTTGATGTTAAAATGCAATCCCTCCATGCTGAAGGTTATATTCTTTGATATTCTACAGTAAGTGCTTCAAGTCTTCCTTACTCTTGGGAAGCAGTTATGTCATCTGCATAGCACAGCACAGGTTATTGATGAGTTTTCCTCTGATCCTGATGCTACATTTCTCTTCATAGAGTCCAGCTTCTCAAATAATTTCCTCGGCATACAGATTGAATAGGTATGGAGAGAGAATACAACCTTGATGCACAGCTGCTTAATTTTAAACCATGTAGTGTTCCTTTCCTCTGTTTGCATAACAGCCTCTTGATCTAGATATAGGTTTCACAAGAGCACAATTTAGTTCTTGGGAATTCCTATTCTTCTCAAGGTTAGCCACAACTTGTCATGATCCACACAGTCAAATGCCATTGCATAGTAAAGCATAAATAGACATTCTGGGCCACCACTAGAACTGTAGTAAATCCTAAGAAGAAGGGGTGATGCCCAGCTCAGCCCTCCAAGCCCAGATCTCCCATTCCCAAAATTCTTAGAGGTTAAAGGCACCCTCACTGGGAGAGATGAGACTTTGGAGTCCAGTATCCCAGGATCTCACACTAGTGCTCATCCACAGTTTCCCCAGTGTGGTCAAGGGTTTATTGTTCAAAATGGGTTTCCTAGCCATTGACTTTGCCACGTGGATGGATGGAATC